TAAAGAGACCTCAGAAGATACCTGTTTTCATCAGTTTAGCATTGACATGACCAGATTTCTAGAGTATTCTGTCTTAAAAGCAATAATACAATGATTATTTCCTGAGAGTTTACACGAGGTACATTTACAAATTAGGAGAAGGAGCACTATAATACATTTTCAAAAAAAATTATTCTAAATTTATCAAAAATAAAATGGTCCTTGAAAAATCAACAGTCAAAACTATATTAACTACAAATGTGTTCAGCCACGATAGCCATAGATGACACAGTACTGTTGTGGGCTGAATTGCTTCCCCTTCCCTAAATTCATACGCTGAAGCCCTAACTCCAAGTACCTCAGCATGTGGCCATACTTGGTGATACAGGTTCTTTAGGGAGGTAAGTAAGGTGAAATGAGGTCATTAGAGTGAGTCCTTCTGCATTAGGACTGGTTTCCTTATAGGAAGAGATTCGAAAACAGGCTACAGAAAGACCATGTAGAAGACGCAAGGAGAAGGCAGCCATGTGCAAGCTAAAAAAGAGAGTCTTCAGAAGAAATCGACCCTGCCAGCACCTTTGTCTTGGATATCCAACCTCCAGAACTGTGAGACAATAAATTTCTGTTGTTTTAGCCACCCAATCTGGTGGTCCTTTGTTATGACAGTTCTAGAAGACTAACACAGCTATGTCAATGCCAAACATTTTTCTTTCGAGCCAGAGCTAGGGAGAAATTCTTTGGGTTGCTTCTCTAACAAAATGAAACAGAAGAAATGGGTTCTATATGATTTCCCGTAATTCAAATCTTGGGATTCTTCTTACCAACAAAGAGAGAACTTGTTCATACTTTGATTTATCTGAATTTTCAAAACAATTCCATACTCTCCCCATAGTAAGTTTGGATCCATGCCTTATGCTATATCCAAAAGTAAACTCCAGATAGGTTAAAGATCTAAAATACAAGAAAATAAAATGCAGAAAGCCATCTTTGCAGCCTAGGAGTAGAGAAACACTTTTGGACATGAAGCTAAATTCTCAAATCCCAATGTTAAAGTTGGATGGGTTTAACCTCATTAAAATGAAGAATTACAGTTCAATGAAAGATACCCTAGAAAAAGCTAACAGACTAGAGGAGATTCTGTAACACCTAAAGCCAAAGGGGATTAATATCTGCAATATCCTCCCCTTCAAAAACAAAAACATGACAAAAGACAACTCCTGAAAATCAACAAGAAAACAATGAAATATCTAAGAGAAAAATGGGCAAAGGATATGAAGAAGTAAATCTCAGAGAAAGGGAAGATGTCTGACAAGTATATAAAGAAAAGCTCAGTCAACATCCTTAGCAACAAAAATACTGAAAGTTTAACCGTCAATGATATTTCCACATTGTCCATCAGAATTGCAAAATCTAGGGGAACCTGAGTGGCTCAGTCGGTTAAGTGTTCAACTCTTGATTTTGGCTCAGGTCATGATCTCACAGTTGGGAGATCGAGCCCCACGTCAGGACTGCAGTTGGCATGGAGCCTGCTTAAGATTCTCTCTCTCTTTCCCTCTCCCCCTTTCCCCTACTCTCAATCTTTCTCTCTCAAAAAAAGTTGCAAACATTAGAACACTAAATAACATCTAGTATTGGAGAGGATATGAGAGTGACAGAAACTATTAGACACTATTGAAGGGAATATAAATTAGTTTTCTATAAAGCAATCTAAAGGGACTAGGGAAACTAACTATAATATGTCCTCTGATCCAGCAATGAGGACAGTAGTCTCCCCTTACCTGTGGAAGGTACAACCCTCAGTGGATGCCTGAAACCACAGATAGCAAAGAATCCTACATATACTATGTTCATACTATGCATACTAGGCATACATACCTATGATGAAGTTTCATTTATAGAATTTAAGAACCAGTAAGAGATTAACAACAACAATAATAGAGAAATTATACAAATATATTTTAATAAAAGTTATGTGAATGTGGTATCTCTCTAAAAATATCTTATTTTTAATTTTATTTCTTTTATAGTTTATTAATTATTTTGATAGACAGAGGTAGAGAGCAGGAAAGGGTGGGGCAGTGAGAGGGAGACAGAGAATCCCAAGCAGGCTCCGGGCTGTCAACCCAAAGCCCAATGTGAGGCTCGAACTCACAAACCATGAGATCACGACCTGAGCCAAAATCAAGAGTCAGATGCTTAACTGACTGAGTCACTCAGGTGCCCCAAAAATATTTATCGTACTGTATCGCCTGTAATCACCCTCCTTCTTGTGACAATGTGAGATGATAAAATGCCTACACAGTGAGATAAGGTGAGGTGAACAATGTAGGCATCATGAGGTAGTATTAGGCTACTATTTACTTTCTGACAATTTGTCACAAGGAGGATCATCTGCTTCCAGGGAGAAATCGACCATGGGGAGCTAAAATTGCAGGAAGCAAAATCGCTGATGAGAGCGGACTCCAGTAAGTATCTCAGATATAGTCACATCTAGATACTTCTGAGAACATGTGCCTGGATTTACCTGGCTGTATTATTTGTGATTTGGAAGTGAGAAACAATGCCCATCCTTAGGGGAAAGGATAAGTAAAATGAGGTGAAGACAACTATGAAAATATTATACATTATCCAATACAACCAACTGTAGGCAGAGCAACACAGATCTAAATCACAAGTTGTTGAGTATTTGTAGCACTATTCCATTTATTAAAAGTACATAGTGGGGCGCTTGGGTAGCTCAGTTGGTTAAGCAGCTTTCTCTTGATTTCGGCTCAAGTCATGATCTCAGGGTTCCTGAGTTCGAGCCCTACACAGGGCTCTGCACTAACAACAAGGAGCCTGCTTCAGATCTTTTGTCTCCCTCTCTCTGCCCCTTCCCCACTCGCACATACTGACTTTCTCTCTCTAAAATAAATAAATGTTTAAAAAAATTCTTTAAAGTGCATACCTACAAAACTCATATTTTCCAAAGGATATATAAATTAAACATATTGTGGTGATTGCCTTCTAGAGGAGAAGAATGGGTTGGGAACTGGGAATAAGAGAAAAATTAAAATAGAATAGGGTCTTGTATGCACCAATAATGTGATACTAAAAACCCAAGAGTATAATTAGCTCATTGCTGCACCTGAGATTTAAATACACACACACACACACACACACACACACACACCACAAAACCTCTCCCCAAGTTCCTCCTCAATTTTTCAGCTCATTATTCCAGCAAGCTAAATCTTCAATGAGGATATTGGAATTACACAGTTGCCCAATCTTATTAAACACCTTTGGTTACGCTCTCTTGTATTCACAATCCAGGGGTAATTTGTTGCCCCTCCTCCCAGGGATAATTGGCATTTGGCAATGTCCGCAAAAAAATTTTTGGTTGTCACCACTTGGGGACCGGGTGCTACTGGCACCTAGTGAACAGGGCCAGGGATGCTAAACATGAACAGGGCCGGCAACAAGGAAGCATCCCTTTCTTTCCAAATATCACAGTGCTGAGATTGAGAAGCCCTATAGTCCCTACACTACTCCACTGCATTTGCCATTTACTTCTTTGATCTTTGAGAGGCTGCCCATCAAGCTGACCAAGATACTCCTTTCCTCTTCCCCATCTTACTCTTCCACGTACTCTCCTTGCATCTTTCCCCACTTCTACTCTTCTTTTATTTCTGCTCAAGCACAATCTATGGTCTTAGTTTGCCTCTCTCCCTGTAGTAGTCATTAATCTACTTAAATATCACACTGATTTTAATTGCTCATATAAAAGCTGTGGATAAGATAAACTGATAGTATGCCATTAATAATTCAAGAAAAGTAATTGATAAAGTGCCTCTCCCTCTCTTTCTTCTTCTTTCTTATGAGTTGCTCTAGCACACACCCATCTATTAAAATAGGAAGGGTATCCAATTTAAGATTCAACCGGGGTCTCTGCTAAATCTTTATGAGTTAGGTGAAGGAGCTAACAAATGTGTTAGAAGTAACAGTTAAAAAACAAACTGAGCCAGAAGGGGTCAGAAGCCAAGGTAGGGGTGTGGTGGCGATTGAGCTTCAATAATTGGATGTTTGATGCTTGAGAGTCCTTCACTGAAACCAGAGGAAGGCAAAGAGCAGAGAGAGGGATTGTTTCTGACTTTTTAAACTGAACTCCAAAATTCTCTGAGCAACAGAATGGGCCTAACGTGTACCAGGTAGGATTTAAGTGTAAAGGAAAGGACTGATTTTCAGATTATGGAGACAGTTAAACATTGAATTTCAATGTTGTGGATGTCCTGCTCTGTTGGACTTTGTTATTTTTTTAAGTGTTCCTGTACACAATATTACAGTCCAATTTAGGCAAATGAGCAGATCAAATTCTTAAGAGCTGTGATTTGCATTTTTGTGCATTTTCCTTGAAGTGTCAATTGCCATTTGACGGCTTGTCCCTTAGACATTTACATCTCTTCTTTAGTGCCTTGGGAGTTAAATTATCAATTATCTCCAAAGGATCTTTATCCAGCTCTTCAACATAACCCTGTTTTCTGTCCTTGATGCTAATTCATGGTGGCAGCGGGGTTTGTTTATTTTTCTTTCTTTTCTTTTCTTTTTTTTTTTTTGGAACAAAAGAAAAAGTTTGGAAGGTCTCTGGAGAGACATTATCCTTCCCGTTTTATTCAGTCTGAGCAGTAGAGATATGAATACGTTCAGCTCTGGAAGCAGTCTTTTTTCTTCTACAGATAAATTCCTAATTTTTATGAATCATGTGGACTTGAATTATTTTTTTAAATTAAAAATATTAAAAGAGAAGAAAGGCAGGAAATAATGGGCACGATTGCACGTTACGCTAAGATACGTCCCCAACCCAACTACCCAGGAATTAATCCCCCTCATAGTTTTTCGAAATCACACTGCTGTCTCTTTAACAAACCTTAAGTGAGAAGGGGGCGGGCCTCCAGAGTATCGAAGGTTCCGATTGGTCCGACTGGCAGGAAGTGGGCGGTGAAAGCGTGGCTTCTGTTGGTGTCCGAGACTGCAGGGTGAGAGGCCGAGGCCTGGCCGGGCTTCAGGACGGTGAACCTGTCGTGGCTCAAATCGCTGGAGTGGGAAGGAAGGGTGCAAAACGGGGTCCCTTCACCACTGTGGGCGCGGGGCCCTGACAGCCTTTTCGCGGAGGTGCAGCGCTCTAGCAGCCGGGCCGCGATCGGCGCGGGGTCCACTCAGACCGCCGGGACCGCGGGGTGGCCCAGAAGCTGCAAGGAAGGTGTTGCGCGGCCGCTTCCCGCTGCCCCGGCAACTCGGCCGACGCCCCCATCTCAACCTAGGTTCTTTTTTTCCCCTGTTCTACAGGCTCGCTTCCGGCGTCATGGCTCAAAGGGCCTTCCCGAATCCTTATGCCGATTTTAACAAATCCCTGGCCGAAGGCTACTTTGATTCTGCCGGGAGGGTGAGTTTGGGATACATCTGCTTGCAGTCCCTACCTCCAGCCAGGCCCTGGTGTTCAGAAAGGTGCTCAGTTTTGCCTGAAAGAAAGGGACGAGCATCCCCTTTTAAAAAAAAAAAATATATATATATATATATATATAATTTGAAGATAAATATATAAAATACGTGTCAAAATACGCAGTTTGAGTCCTAACATTTCTATAAATCATTGTTATTAATGTTAATTTATAACTGAAATAACCTCGATCGTTGATAATTTAAATTATAACAATTGGCGAATATGGCGTTTTCCATGTGATTTTGCAGTTTTGATCAATTTTGGTATGCATTTTAAAGGACAGGGGAGGAGTCTTGGTGGTCTGTCACATGTGCCATGTTACTGCTTTACATTTGTACCCAAATACGGCATGGTAAATGATGAGAGTAAGTTGGAAAGTGTGGTAAGACATCTTCAAGCTGAAAGTGCTAAGACAAATTAGGGACATAGGCCTGAAATTCTTCCTGCTATTGCCACTCTGCAGAACATCCCCACAGCTGGGGAAAGAAAAACTCACCAACAATAGTAAATTAATGGTTAGCACTTTATATTATAAGCCACTGAGTAAAAGAGAAGCTGGATGTAAGATACCAGAGGCCTGTGTTTTCTCATGTCTCTTTGAGTGGACATTACTGTGAAGAGGGAATACAGTTTTTAGAGATGCCTAGTTGGGGAATCCTCAGAGTGCATTAGGTTGGAAGAGTGATCTCTTTGGAGTGCACACACTTTTTAATTCTACCAGTTTATTTCTTCTAAACTCATCATGCGTAAAGCATTTCACATGAGTTATAATGGCTTTAGAGATTTCGGATCTGCCACGTCAACTTTATGTGGCTCTTTTTGTTTTCTTTAAAACACTCGTCACTCTGGATTAACATCAGTAATGCAAGTGGGAGGGATGAAAAGGATGGAGAAGAGCTGCGGAATAGAAGGGCACCAAAGTATGTATGAATCTAGAGTCAGTCCGATTTTTTTTAGACCAAAATTGAACTACCCAAGCAAAGCTTCTTACAATAATCTTGACGTCATATGGCTTCCTTTAGGCCATTTGGACCTGTGTTCTGTCTAGCTCTGCAGATCCTGAAGCTCAAGTATTTTGTCTTGTCTTGTTGGAGAAAGACATGCTGTTTCATGCTATCTTGGCAAAGGGAACGTTTGAGGATTTATCCTAAGGACAGAAGCCTTCAGTAAAATACAGCTCACTATTCAGGCTGTTTATGAATTAAATGCGTTTATGAATTTAACCATTTCCAAGGGAGAAAAAAAGATATTCATAAATTTAAACTCTGCTCCAAAAATAATAAAGGAATTTATTACCTAACACACGGTTTTGGACAGATTCCAGAAAGAAATGAGCATACCAGTTCTAAAATTGTTTAACGTTGAACATCAAGGATCAGACCCTGGAGATCTGTCCTCCTTAATTTGTTAACACAGACCTTTCAATAAGGAATTGGCCTGTTTTCTGGCATCTAAAAAAAAGGGCTTTTGGAGACTCTGCAAATTATTGCTAGAGTTTGAATAATTTTGTGGTCTGCCACAAGTAATCAATATTCTCAGGCAGGTCACCTTTATTAAATGTGGTTGTATGACAAATAGAAAGTGATTTCCCTTCCTGAGACTGAGGCATTCTCATTCTTGGGCTCAGAGTAAGGCCAGGCAAGATGATAAATTATCTGTGATCTATGAACAGAAGACGACATGTTCTCACATAGATGCACTCTTCTATCTAGTTGAGATTTATAGACCTTTTATATTAATATTGAAGTATATTTTATCTTATTAAATGTATTTTCAAGACTTGTTGAAGTCTGAAGCTCTTGGCAGAAATTGTTAAATAATGGGAGTGTGTCTGTCAATGTAGTTTCTTCTTCACAGTATGAAAGAAGGTATCATAGTGGTGCTTCAGAATAAATAATCCATTTATGGTTGATAGTCTGGTTTGCCTTATCAGAGATGCTCTTCAGAAGTAAAATTTAATATCTTTTATAACCTGTTACTGCCTTCTTACTTTTTTCAGTGTTAAGATGCCCTTTTTAAAAAATGAGATTATGATGCCAACAGGTAGTTAGGTTTGTTTTTATCATCCTTACATGGTGAAATAAAATGTTCGTACCCATGTGATATTCCTCAACCTTTCTGAAGTTTTACTACTTTGTAAAATCCAAGTCTGGGAATCATAGCAGGTTCCTAAAATTGCTTAGGGATACATTAAAGTGATCTTTTAAGACAGTTCATGATTCAGTGTATACAGAACTTTTCAAAATATTTTTCAGTTGCCTGTAGGATCATGATTATGTGGGCCTCACGGTTTGCCCAGCACCTATGGGCCTTCATATGGATGTCACTAACCCGCAGCCCCAACCTTAGTGTGCTTTTATTCCATATCCAACTTATTGCTTGTTATAGACCCTTGGACTGCTTAACTTTTTAAGAAGTATCAACATTATATCCCTGAATGTGAAAGATCCAAGGCACAGGATCTCATTTGATCCTCAAAGTACTTTTTGAAATTGGTGGGGCAGGTATTATTATCCTGACTTTATGGAAGTAACTGAAGCATAAAGAAGTTCTATGTAGAGCAAAATCACCCAGCTAATCACAGATAAAGATATAGGCAGCCTCATTCATTTGGGCAATATTTATGAAGCCCCTCCTTTGCGAGGCACTGTGCTGGGTCTGATGTTATTTCCACTCTGCCTAAGGCTCCTCATGTCCATGAATTTATTTTGATTTTCTTATCCTACTTCTACAGTTTTTAAAAATTTTTATCCATTTTCTCACAAATGGACTTTAATAAATGTTTATTCTCATGTTTTAAATAACAAAAGCAACTAGAGTGTTTCTTTAGAAAATTAACATCGCTGTAGCTTGAATGGCTAGAAAACGGCAAACATATTATGATTTGTGCTTAATTTATTAAAATGATTTTTATTATAATAAAAAATATTGGCTTAAATAACAGATGCTCCCTAGTAGGTGGAAACTACTGTATGCCAGTTTATCCCCAGACGTCTATTGTAGTATTTATTTACAAATTTTATGTAAAACATTTAAATTACAACAAAAGTATTTCCTGCCTTGAGTAGGAAAATGTAGTAGCACTTTTAAGTTTTATTAATTTGTTAAGAATAAAATGATTATCCAGTTCTCCCAGGCAGAAAAATGTGACCTAAGTGGAAATGAAGTATCCTCTGAATTTTGATAGCCTATAGTCCGGGAAGTTGAGTGGTCCATATTTTTTGATACTTGTTTTCCCTTTAATATCTACAGCTAACTCCCGAGTTCTCACAACGCTTGAACAATAAAATTCGAGAGCTTCTTCAGCAAATGGAGAGAGGTCTAAAGTCAGCAGACCCTCGGGACAGCACTATTTACACTGGCTGGACAGGTATGAAGTGCTGACCGTGAGCTGGCATAAGCCAGAACATTACCTTTGGAGAGCTGTCTGACAGAATGGGACACCCTTAAGTGCATCTGTACATGAGTATATTGCTTCCAGGAGAATACGGTGCTCTCATCCTACCCTGGATATCTTTGAATTTTTAACAGTGCCTACTGAATTTAGGGCAGGGTAAGCATGTTCATGGAATTCATACCTGACACAAATTTGGATGGCTGCTTGTGGAAAGAAAACATCATGCTAAACATTACATAGTTAATATGGAGATAGAATTTCAGTGGGAAGAGTTGGGAAGCATCCCAGAACAGAGCATGTGAAACAGAAATAAGGAGAATTTATCCACAGGAGAGAAACAGGGATCCACACATGAACACAGAGTGAACCATAGATTGCATGAACTACTCCTTTCAGATAGTCATCGCTGGTTGGTTTACATTCACTGTCTTGCTGATCATTGAGCTGGTGGAGAAAGTTTGGGAAGAAAGAGTCTATAGGTGTCAAGGAAGTGAAAGAGAGGCAAACCACAGGAAGAATGTTGAAGAACTTCAGTTCGTTTACTAATGCAGAGAGACAGAAAGATAGCTTTGTAATCTTAAAGGCGCACAGTTCACAGACTCCATGTTTTCCAGTGACTCTGAAGAAAGGAGGCAAAAAGAGGAACACGTTTTCAGCTTAAGGAATTTGATTTTAAGGCAATGGTGCTTGTCGTGAAAACGCAGGTTCTTGGGCCTCACAGTGGAGATATCAGTTTAGCAGGTCTTGAGCGGAGCCCAGGAATATGCATTTTGCAAGCCTCAGTGGTCCTGATGTAGATAGTGCTTTGTGGACTGCACTTTGAGAGTTTTTTTCTATAGCAGGAATTTACTAATAACAAACCTTTTAGGAATGACAAGTGATTCTGTCCTTACGAGGATGGGAAGGCAGATAAAAATCAGAATAAAATTCTACTGTCAGGGATGTGTAAGGCCATTATTTTCCAAAATAAGAGGAATGGACTAGTTAATGTTGGGCCCTCCCGCTTACCTTAGTTTTATGATTTCTGGGGATTTTAGAAGCTTAACACAAGGTATATTAAAAATGAGAATAAATGTGAAAGTATTTTGCTTCAAGAAGGAAGTTATAACATCTGTCATTTAAATGAACATTACTATTTTCTATTTAAAATTAGAAGAATTTGGGGCCCCTGGGTGGCTCCATCAGTTAAGTGTCCAACCCTCGGTTTCGGCTCAGGTCATGATCTCACAGTTCGTGCGATCAAGCCTCACATTGGGCTACACGCTGACTGTAGGGAGCCTGCTTGGGATTTTCTCTCTCCCTGTCTCTCTGTCCCTACCCCACTTTTTCTCTCTTTCTCTCAAAGTAAATAAACTTTAAAAAAATTGAAAAAAAAATAAAATAAAATCACAAGTATTTGAGCAAAACAAGACAAGTACAATGCATGGTTATCTTTAGCTTCCTCTTGATTTCCACGTTGTCTAAAGCCCATACTTACAGATCTTTTCCTAATATATTTGGAGTTTCTATTATTTTGTTATTCCTGGCCAGGAAAAAAAAAAAAAAGATACTGAGACAGATGGCTAGATTTAATTGCCTAACTGACTACAAAAAGAATGACTGAAATCTCTCTCCTACTCACTCATTCAAGTGAGCTTATATTATTACATATTATAAGGTACTTTGCTTTAGGAGGAAAAGAAGTGGGGATTGACTTCTAGTTTGAATTAGTAGTTTGACAGTGTTAGGAAAAAACCATCAGTCGGACCCTCTGCTGCCGGGGCTGGTTCAGAAACTAAAGGTTAAATAGAAGAGGAAATAGAAAAGGAATTCCACTCCAAAGCAAAATGCAAGTGTGGCTAAATGTTTTGGCGGTATCGGTTTCAGGTATCGTCTCCTTTGAATGCCAATATCCTTGAGCTTTTTGTCTTTAAGTATTTATGATACTTACTGCTGCCTCCTGAAAGCAGCTTATACAGCAAGTGTCTTAGGCAAATTGGCATACTAAGCAGTTTGGGTTGTTTTATGATGTAGCATAAAATCTTTTAGATAAATTTGCTAATGGCTTTGGAAGGAAGGATCCTGATGCCTGCTAATTGAGCACTGTTAAAAAGCCATTATTCCCACATAAAATGGACTGTCTCCTCCAATGTTTTCATAAGTAAAATGCTTCTGTCCCCTGCCGGTGTTCAGACAGTCTGAATAGCATAAAACTCTGAGTTGCATAAGAAACTACGTAATGTCAATTTGACACATGAAATCATGTCAGTACCGTCTCTTCCCATTGTTCTCTCTTGCCAAGTATCCTCTCTTTGTTATTGCTATTTTATTGCCAAAAAATGCATTCATAAACACTTTAAAGTAATAAAAACACTTGGTGGTGTGTGTCAAACCAGTGTTTACATAATTATATATTGATTTGTCTGTTACTCTTTGTGTTCCCCTTACTGTCTTCCATAAGGGGATACTTTTTAGAAAATAAGGATTCTATTTCGTTACCTTTGTTCCCCAAATTTAGTGTCATATTTTTATAAATATTGTTATTTTTGTTGCCAGCTTATCCAAAATTATATTACTTTGGGAACCACTAATTTATTATAGAAAACCTTTAAAACTTGATTACTTTCTTCAACATTGGTATTTATTGAGCATTTGTTGTCTACAGTGAAAGTTTTCACAAGTGATCATTATGTAGTTTGTATGAGAAAACTTTATGATTATTATTAACTTTATATATTATTATCTATATAATATATATATTATCATATATCTTTATATATTACTATATAGCTTTAAGTTGCCATCCTATTTTGTTAAGTTTCATTTCCCAATGGCAGCATGATCTAATAGTTAATGCTCATTCAGATAGAAATAGGATTTAGAATAGGGTTAGGTTCCGCTGCACATACCTGAAAAAATAAAAACTACAGTGAGTTAAATAAGTTAGAAGTTAATTTTTTTCTTCTGTAAAAGAAGGTCAGTGCAGTTCAGGGTTGATACAGTGGCCTCAGGATGTCAATAGGAATCCAGGGTTCCTTTCTTTCTGCTCCATTATCCCTCAGCCACTGGCTTCTACCTCTTGGCTATATCACTGCTGAAGATTCATGCATTACGTCAGCTTTTCAGGAAGCAGAAAGGAAAAAGAGGGGAAAAAAAAAAAGAATGCATTCCTCTCCTTTTTTTTTTTTTTAATTTATTTATTTATTTTGAGAGAAAGAGTACAAGCAGGGAGGGGCAGAGAGAGAGGGAGAGAGAGAATCCCAAGCAGGCTCTGTGCTATCAGCCTGGAGTCCGATGCAGGGCTCTATCCCACGGCTGTGAAATCAATACCTGGGCTGAAACCAAGAGTCAGAAGCTTAATCAACTGAGCCACCCAAGGGCCTCTCGTCCTCTTTTAAAGGACTTCCTGGAAGCCCCACTCAACATTTCAAGTCTACCTACTTTCCATTGGCTGGCACATAGTCACATGGTTACACTAACATCCTAAATGTAGTCTGTTAGCTGGGGTTAAGTGGATTTGGGGTAAAATCCTCATATAATCTCTGCTGTAAGTCCTATATAACAAGAAAAATGATTTTTTTATTGTTTGCACAAAGCATTTGGACAATGAGCCTTAATTTTTTCCATCTGTAAAAAGATCACTAACGTCTGTCCATTTGGGGGGACGTTTTTGTCTATAAAATATTTTGAAGTTTCCTAAGCAATACTTTGCCTGCTCTGTGTTTCTAGGGAGACTCACATTTGGAGTTTGTTTCAAAACACCTTTATTTTAATTTTGTTTTTATTTCAATAAGTAATAGTCCTTTCATAAAGCCTGCCACTGAAAGGAAGTATGATAAGAATGCCAAATCATAAATAATTTTTCTGGAGTCAAGTGTAACTTCTATCAAGAAAGAGGCTGCAGCTGGTTCTATGTTAGCGTTTTCAATGCTTGACTGAACAGTTACCTGCCTCTCCTTTTCACATCCCCTAACATTCTTGCTTGCTTTTCACAGGATTATAAAATCCTTCATTTGTTTGTACCATGCATTAATCCATAGTAAACCCCATAGTCATGTCTGTGTTTCTGCTTCGTGACTATAAAAAGCTACAAAGCTGGGCTTTCCAGCTTCATAATACCTCATTCATGCTATGACCAGATTTGCCTCAGGTGCTCACTTGGTCTTGAAAACAAGAGGGTTCGTGAAGAAGCCCATGTGTTTTTAATATTACATAGGCACTTAAAGCTGAAAAGTTGGACTCCCATCATTTTTTCCCACTTTTTAGGAAAAATTGAGACTAAGAGTGACAAGCTACTTACTAGAATTTCTGTACCTGTGTTCTATGTGCTTTAGAAAACATTGTGTGCATAATACTTTATTGGTAAGGGTGATGTGTACCAGGTTAAATAAAATTTTAAAAGAAGCAAGTCATTGCTTTAGAAAGTCCATTGCCTTTACAAACTAGTTTATGACTCAACTTATCTTGCCTTTTATTATAAAGTTGAAGCAGAGGATATAACATAGTGATGAGAATGGTCAATGTAGGCTTTTCATAGGATCCAGGCATTATTTTTACCAAAGCGCACATATTTACTCCTGTGGGTGTCCAGCGCAGTTTTACAATCTGTATTCCTGACTTTTACCTTTTTTTAAAAAATCTTTTTAAATGTTTATTTTTGACAGTGAAAGAGACAGAGCGTGAGTCAGGGAGGGACAGAGCGAGAGAGGGAGGCAGCTCCGAGTGCTCAGCACAGAGCCCATTGTGGGGCTTGAACTCACAAACTGTGAGATCATGACCTGAGCCGAAGTTGGAGGCTTGACTGACTGAGCCACCCATGCGCCCCTGACTTTTATCTTTTTTGATTCACAACAGAGAAATAAGATACCTTGACCCTAGGAAAGAAAGGAGGGAAGAATTATTCAAACCTGTACCTGTCTCATACTGACCAGTGAGGCAGCTATGGTAATAAATTGCTCTGGGGTCTCATGCTTATCCAGGAATGTGAATAATCA